ACTTGAAAAAATGGAGTTGTATCAAAAATAGACGAGATGAAAGTCGGAAATTTTTAGCTCAGTCACCTGATGACTAGGATTATTCCTTGGATAAATTCCAGTTAGTGTCATGTGCTGAATAACATAGAGATAAAGACGAGAAAATCGTTGATAAGTGATTGTCATTGTTATCTCTTACTCGGAACCAGGGATCCCAGATCTTCTGATTTTGACAGAAAATTTCTGATTTTTGAAGTTTTCTCTGTCTCGTTTCTAATCTTCCGATTTTTTTTCTCATTTTATGTAGATCTGAACTGAATTTTGGCTTATAGCGCATGTATCGTTTCACATTCATATCGTTTCTGTTTCGATAGTAGGCACTAGACAATAATATCCCAATAGTCCGTTATAAGTCTTTCTTGTATAGATCCTTATCCTAGAAACTGCTCATTCTCCAATCTATTACAGTAGTCCGTGAGCTTAGACGTACTTTGTACATACGAGCGCTCGAGAACCATATCACCGACAAAAAAAAATTAAAGTTCATTTAGAGTTAAAGAAAAGTGCTTTCTCGTATTCAGCACACTTGATAATCCGGAAAATTTTCTATTCTTCGCGAGGGGTACCGCCAAAAAGTTAAGAAAAATTTTTAAAATTGTTTAATTTTATCATGGGGATTTTTCTACGTCAATTTGTTTGAAAAATTTTCTTAACTTTTTGGCTGTACCCCTCACTAAAAATAGAAAATTTTTCAGGTTATCAAGTGTGCTAAATACGGAAAAGCACTTTTCTTTAACTCTAAACAAACTTTAATTTTGTTTTATCGATGATATGCTGGGAAAAATTCTGACGTTTTCTGTATTTTGTTTCTACTCAGAGAATAACTTAACAGAAGAAACATTTCCCAGCACGGGAAGAACTGGTAAGTTTTAAAGTTGTCTGAAACGGATTGTTTTTGAGAATGTCTATCTCAGATGCATGAACATCTGCTATAGTAGTAATTCAAATTCATTTAAATTTACGTTTTGCCCAGCAAAACTTTAGCACAACAGTTTAGCATTGATGTGTTATGATAACACACACCGTCCCTTCCCGCATTCCGTACTTGATGTTTAGCTTCTTTTACAAACTTTGTTTCATTGTACTTCATGTAGTAATTTCTTTATATTCTTGCGCTTAATTGCGTATTAATTTGCTCTTTTTATGTATGCAGAAAACGAAGAATGATTTGTATTTTAATATTTATCACACAGTATAATACATTTTCTATCGCTTTAAAAAAAATATTATAAAAATAATATTTATTCAAGTGTATCTTCTATAGAGCATAAGCGTTTCTTTTGCAGCGTACCAACGTTCTGCATACTGCATTGTTTCAAATAGTTATGTATCGTCAATTTGTTCTTTGCCTTTTTCTTCTGTGTATTATTCGTAAAACAACGTCATTTATTTGCTTAAGTTCAAAGACAAATCCCGGTGTTCATATACCAAAAGACTTTGGTCCACATACAAATAATTTTGGATCAGAATGGACTTATTTAACGGGAAATTTTAAATCTCAAACAAATTCTATTATACATTCAACAATAAATTTATGTGAAGAGAAACATTTAAAATTTAGTTTTTTCATAGCAGTATTCTATGATACTATTGGCAAAAATCATGTCGTTAATTTTGGTCTGACGGTTATTTCACAGAAATTTCATTATAATCAGACAGATATTAGCCCTCATGGTGAAATATCAAATGTAAAGAAAGGCCAATTGTGGAAAAGCACATTTTCTGGTGAAATAATAACATTTAGTGTTTCGCAAATAAATCCAACGCAGACATTAGGCTCAATTGGTACACAATATTTATTACAAATAAATGATAAGAGTTCCAATATTAGTATTAGTTTATTAGGTATGGATCAGGCTGGTGTCCTGTATCATGGTATTCATGGGTTTTTTCAAGGACCAAGTAACTGTTCTGGTTATGAATATTTTTCATTACCACATTTATTGTCAGCTGGTACAATTATTTATCAAAAACAAGTGTATTCAGTTAGCGGTATACTATGGTTAGATCGCCAATATGGGAACGCACCATCATTTAATGGATGGTATTGGTATGGTTTGCAGATTGATGATGTATCAATGTCTGTTTACACATTTCATACTGAAAATAATACTATTTTACAAGATTTAACTGCTGTGAATATTCTATCAATACATAAACCAACAACAAAAACATTAAAAGGTTCGAACGTAAAAATTAAGATTAGATCAACATGGAAATCTCCTCAAACATCAATTTTTTATCCAACATCAGTTGAAATTCATATACCTCATTTCGGTACTATTACAACAGAACCATTTATTAAAAATCAAGAGTTTGTGTCAAATTTACATGGGTGGCCACTTTATTATGAAGGATTTGTTCATATAAAATTATCCAATATTGGATATAAAGCAAAACAAACATTCAGAAAGAAATTTTTGTTACAGCATCAAGGAAACAATGAAATAAATGGCTATGGATTTCAAGAATTAACAGATTTTAATAAAAACAATTTAATTTAATTATTCAATCAGCTATATGGTAAATTAACAAACGTAATTATGTTTTCTCTAAAGATAAATGAACAGTAAAACCCCTACGTGACTATATTTTACAATTCAATAATAAAAACTGCTGTACTTTCTTAAAAAATTTCCCTCTAACAAATACTATTTTTTTTATTGCGGATTCAAAAATTAAGTGTCTACAGGTTTATGTTTTGTTTTTAGTTACTATGTTTCTTCAGAAGGAAAGCTCCTAGATCGGTCATCTGTGATAGAGTCCGCAGTCTGAAATCTATACATTAGTGTAGCAAAGCCGGAATTCTGCAAGTAATTCTCAATTTTCCCCCAACAAAATTCAACTTCTACGTAATAAAAATATTATATTCGGAATCAGGATCAAAAGACAAATCTACTGATGTGTATCTCCAATTCATTCGAATAATTTAATTTTTTTCGAATTTTCACGTAGAAAAATCATCGAGATTTTCATCAAAAAATGAAAATCAATTAAAAGCTTCAAAATACACATCAGTAGATTTGGTTGCTTGTATCTTCTCTCCCTCCTCTATGTTACAAACTTTTGCACTAGCAATGTTTTTTTTCATGCATACATGGCTACGCCAGAATAAACTGAACTGAACTGAACAGAACTGAACTCCGTCCTTTTTCCATGCACAGAAGTACAAATTATGATTCTTTTTGCTTGTCATCGCGAGTATATTCTTTCTTGTTTTCATCGTTAGGAAATACATTGGGCTCGTTGTTCAGTGTATTTAGATCAAAGCCCGCTAAACGGTTATACTTCCTAATTATTGCGTCCACTTCTTCTTTTGAAATTATATCACGTATGTCTTTAAAACCATTTGGTGAATGTTCATCGACAATTTTCAAAACTTGCTGGGGTCCTCCTTGACGATTTGAATTAACTATGGAAGTAGCTATACCACGGCGAATATTATCGTACTCTTCGAGCGCTTCTACTGTTGGGCCGTACCGTTGAAAACATTGAACTAAAGCTTGTGCATCTAAGCTATCATTCGATAAAGAGCGTCCCGGAAACAATTATGTCTCCCGTATCTAGTCAGATTATTAGGATGTGTTTCTCAAAAGTAGTTTCACCCACTTCATCTGTTTCTATATCATCGTTGAGTCAAATGTTTCTTTTCCCTAAATAGACTTTCGCGGGGTCACAGTTAGTACAGAAAGTATCTCGGATAAAACTGTTCGCAAAGCACTCAGTCACGTTGTAGAGCTAGTTCACAGAGAATTTGGCTAAAACAAACACCGACAGCAGCGACTCATTAACTAAACCTTGCACACGAAACGAACATCATAGTCAAAGTACTTTTCATTCACGTGCTCATTTATAATTTTATCGTTTCCTCTTGGCTCTACTCACTTGCTACTTCGCATAATTTCTCAAGCTAACAAGAAACTGGCGTCACCCGCTCAAATCGTCAATAAACGAATGCCTTACAGAAATAAACCTGCGACGTTATAACCAATAGTGACAGTATCTTCCATCGGGAAAGCCGGGCGTACTTCACGGATTATCGGGAATATAGCTTGTGCAGCACCGTTTCCTCCAATAGGATACATGGCATGTGCAGCGTCTCCAAGTAAAGTAACACGATTGTGTGTCCACTTAGGAAGTGGATTTCGGTCTGTCACTGGAAATTCCCATACTTTCTCCGTTGTTCTAATCATATTCGATATGTCTAAAAAATCAGTTTTCATTTCTTCAAATAGTGGTAATATATCCTCAACTCGTCCAATAGTATTCCAATCTGCAGTTTTATGTAATTTTACGCCTGGTCCATCTATACGAACATGGCAAAACCAACAAATTGAATTTTCATTAATTGGATAAACAACCAATCGTCGGTTTAGATTACCCATCAGTAACGTTGTTCGTCCATCTAAAAACAATTTATCTACGCGTTGAACTCCACACCACATTGCAACACCACTCCAAACAGGTGGACCTTCATCTGGGTATAAAATAGTTCGTACGGTTGAACTTATACCATCAGCCCCAATCAGTAATTTTGCACTCTTTTTTACTATTTCATTACTGCTCCGATCTAGAAACTTCACTTCAACATGTTCTGCAAAAGATTCAAAACCAATAAGTTTGTGTCCTAGTACAACACTTGATTTTCCGACTTTTTCTAGTACATGTTTGCAGAGTAACAGTTGCAGGTCACCACGATGAACTAAATATTCAGGCCAATTATATCCAGCTTCCAGCCCCCGGAGCTCTTCATGAATGAACTGTCCATTTTTTGAATAGTATTGCGTAGCTCTTGCTCGTATACCCAGTTTATCTAAATCTTCAGCTAAACCAAGTTCATAAAGAAATTTAGTACCGTGTGACCGCATACCAATACCAACTCCCAGCGGTTTGAGAATTTGTGATGCTTCATAAATCTGAACGCTAAAACCTGCTTTGTGTAAACAAAGTGCCGTTACAAGCCCACCAATACCACCACCAGCAATTACAACATCTACATTCGTGTTCATAGGGATAATGGAGGACTGTTGACGAGTTGAATAGTTTAATCTTGATTGTGAAGCATTTTACTTTTTCCCTCCAACCAACAGAATATTTATCAACGACATCATTCATGCGTGACCGGATAAGCTAATACCTCTCGTAACACGTGTCATAGCACATATCACACTATAAAATTGTTTCGTTATATAAAAGAAAAGAACAACATAGGCACATTCTAAGTTCGTTCATGTTTGTGTCAAAGTAACATTTTAACCACATCGATATGACTAAAAGTTCAGTATCTAAGCAACAAAGCACCATGAGGATGAACCAAGTTGGGGTATTTCACTACTAATTAGGGCCTTTCCAACAAAAATAGCCTTCAACCCGAAATCGATTTATAACCTCGGGTGGTCAAAAAAGGTGAAGTTTACCTTACTCATAGTTGGTTGTCTAAAATATTCACTTCAGTACAGAAATTTTTTCTGAGTATTTTAGACAACCAACTGTGCCTCAGGAAAAACTTTCAGCTCTCTACCACCTTTCTCGACTGACGAGGCATCTTGTGGACGTGCCGAACTCCGATTTCGTTCGTTCATACATCAATCGATAGAGGGTATCGAGGTCGTTAAAAGCTACGAAGGATTTTTGCCGACGGCTTTTCCTTCAGGAGTTATGGCGGGTTTTCTAGATTTCCAAGCGAAAAATAAGAAAATAGAAAACTTCGTATCTTCGTCCAGAAAAGTAGTTCAGAGCTCAAATTTCGTTCTATGGTTCTTCTACATATCTGTGATCTTCATAAGGTGCACGCAATTCAAAAATGTAGCACTATCTTAACTTGCATTGAACTATAGAATGCATTGAAAAATTTCCGATAAAAATATTCCAGAATGATTGATTAATGGACACATAACAGTCACCATCCGCCACAAAAGATTTACTGAGTCCTACCGACTATCAGGCTTTTGCTCGTTACCAGTTGAGAAATAGTCTATACGACTAAATTGCCTGCAGACTTGCGCATTTGTTTCAAAATGTTTCTGTTTTTTCAGGTTGAAACTGAAGTGAAGGTCTAATTCTCGAAAAATCACCTCCGGAAAAATCACACACTAAATAATCCACTTTCGAAAAAGACGGCTTCCAACTTTTACCCGATGTTCATTTACCAAGATATTTTATTTTTATCAAACTGAGATGTTCAGCATAAGCTTCAAGCCTCATTTCCATACATCAAAACACTCGATCTCAAAGTTTATCGGTGTTCCAGTGGTATAAGGTCGGCCTCGAGAATTTCTATGCCGGCAACTACGACCTCATCGTGTTCGAAAATTACAATTTGGCGAACTACGGCCCAATCGAACAATCGTTCCAGATACTAGATGGAAAACCAGCTGTCACTCAAATCAAATACCAAGAAGCAACAACCGTAACAACAAACATCAACAACCAAATAAGAATAGTGTTTTTTGCCACTACACCAATTGCTCCCCTTCGCGAACTCGCCCAACGTTGTCACAACATCGATTTTCTCCATCCAACTCATACGTGTATCAATTGTTAAGTTTCACTTCAACAAGTGACTTTGTTTTATATTTTAGTGCTTTAAGCTCGAATTACTCACTTTTCTTCTTTATTTCTTTAATTATTTCTCTTAAATACTACTAAAATAATTCCTTTATTCACTAATAACTACACTGAATTGAGAAAGCAGTATAACACAAACTTCTCTAAACCCTCTTCCAAAGGCAGAAAACTGAAATAAAACACTCTCGACTTACTGAAGAATTTCTTGAAATTACAAGAAACGGAAAAATTCTATCACATATTAACGCAACTGACCCACACAAAACAGCCTGAACAAAATTTGTAATCTCAATAACGACGCTGAGTATAAAACACTACACACATTTCTAACATAAATTAGACCTAAGCCTATACAAACTAACATACTAACAATGAATGAATCTAAACAATATACAACTCACACACATCTCCAATACACTAAATTCTTTCACATAAAAATTCACCCTAGTCGAAAGCAACAGCCATTACCGTCCATAGCAGGTACTATTTTTCTATAGCTAAAAACACACAACAGCTTGTTTTCTTGAATACTATCTATATCCGGTACTGTGAACACTATCTATATCCTGCACTAACCTCAATCCGTTAACATTTCGTTGTTTAACTTTACAAATATAGTTACTTATGCTGCTACGAAACGAAGAAGTGTCTCCCAGATAAATATCGTTACATTCACAAGGATTACTATATTCTTTCAAAAAATGATGGCAACGGAATTGTTGTGTAAGAATAAAACACTGGTTCATAGAGGAATATATTTGCTGGTTTCATACTTTTCTTCCTTGTACTGAAGACTTCTTTTCCTTTACACATAATGTTATATCCATTCATTAAATGTTGCATATCGACATAAAAGAAAAGATTGTGATTTTTCATTGAGATAAACGCCTAATTTTTTGAATAATAATAAAAATTTGTCCGATTTTACAGCATTTTGTGCCTTGTGTACATCGCCCCCAAATGGCAACTGTAAACTTTATAGTAAGAAAGATGAAAGAGAAACATTTGAATAGGTATGACTGACAAAATAAGGAAATATCATATAGAGATATACGCTCACTGATGGACGATGATGAGAAAGTGAGAAAAATAACATCAAATGAAGAATAAAAGAAAGAACCCAGATAAGTAGCTTGTGGAATGATGCCATTCTCTTTTTCATTTTAGCTTATCTTTATAACGTACGTACATAATTGGGATAATTTTTTCTTTCGTGAGATATCGACCGTCTACAGATCCATGTAAAGGAATACAGTAGTGTATTGCAAAAGACTAGATGATTCACCAAACCTTGAACCATACGAAATAATTTAACGGGGGTTCGAGTGACCTGTTCACGCACTCCAACGCGTTAGAGTGCACAATCATAATATATAAGGTGCCGCTAATTCGAATTTTCTACACCATTTTATTTTTGACTTAATTATACATCAATCTATAGAGCTTGACGAGCTGATTAAGAGTATCTACATTTTAGCTTTAAAAAGTTGGCTTTTGAATGAAAAAACTTCAAAATACTAGAAGGATCTCAAGTTTCGAAAAACTCTTCGGTTTCAAAAAGATGCAAATTATTTCCTTTTACATTCTTCTAACCTTTTTTATATTTTTTTCGAATTCAGCATTAAAAACTGAGTATGAGAATGATTTTTGATCGAGGTTGAAGTCAAAAGTCTATCCAGTATGGACGTGTTGGACTCTCCGTGTAAGAAGTGACTAAACAATTTTGGAAACCTATCTAGTTTTTTGTGTGATGAGATGAAGCCGACCTTTTTATTTCATTAGAACCGCCATTAAACGAGCTATAAAAGAACGGAGAGCTTTCTTTAAAATTCCTTTCCATTGCTGAGAAATTTCACTTTTGCTAAACCGGGCGAAAAATCGTAAAATTCTCAATTTTCACCACCAGAACTCACTTTTTATGCAATAAAAGCATCATATTCGGGGGCAGCGTCCAAAGTTGAGCTGTTTCCTATCTAGTTGCGATGTGCTCATTTTGTTGGCGCATGTTTCATTAAAAGATAGTTTCCTTTTGCATAATATTCTGTATGAGATTGGTTTAGCCACTTAGATCAAAGAACCGATACGATGAAGATCCATTATTTGCTTACAACTGCACTCGTGTAGCTGCATTAGCTTTTTTACCACTACAGGATGTCATACCAAGTTTTCTTTTTTTTGTCGGAAGAATTAACATTAGATTTACAAGACTTTCTGAACTATTTCGACAAAAAACCTCTTTCAATTAGATTACTTTTTTCTTTGTTATTGTTTCTGCAGGAATGCTTAGGTGGAAAGTGAAGTCAGTAAATACAGTTAACGGCATAAGCAGCATGAAAACTATTTATCATTTTACGAATATATGCAGTTGAGACGCTGTACACCACGCCTTTTGTAAAAACGTCTCTAACGAAAAGATATTTCATCAATGTATATCACATGGATAGTTCTCTTAACAAAATTCTCGTGACTTCGGCTTTAAACATAGTTCAGGGCATCCGATTTTATTCATAAAAAGAAATCTCAAAAAGTGCGGCAGTACACTGTATCTGTGAGTTAATTTTCTGAAGAGCGGTGACCTCAGAAACGTTCGTAGCATGTCTCAGCACAGTTGAGAAAAGGACAGTTCCAAAAGAGTTTTATCATAACATCTGCATCGTTTTTTCTCTTAGCTGCTGTTAAGCTGATCTACAGTAAGATATGTAGGGAGACTCTGCAGAGTGAAAGTACACTACCATCACGATTATTTTTCGTATGTCTACTACATAAAACCATGTTTGTTCAACAACTGTAATGTTAAAAGGCAAACATGTAATACGGATATCGATAATCTTCTTACCTTAATTGTTTCGCCAAATAATTGTCCTAAATGCGAAACGTATGAAAAATTTAGCTTCTAGATGAACTGCTGCAATCTGATTATAATGAAACTGTTTTCTAAAGCGTTTTATAATGGCTATTTGTCTAGATTATTAGTCTTTCTGATTATAAAAACTGCTGTGATGCCTGAGGTTTCAACAATATTTACATACTTGAATAAACAAATAAACATAAGAGATGACATTAAAAGGTGAAATTGCTTTGTATTCCAAGACGAGACACAAGAAAGTCATGAGAATCAGACAACCTAGGAAAAAAGAAGCTTTGTTGAAGGCGAGTTTCATGAAAAATATTTTTTTCATATCTCATCCTCAGCAAAACATTTTTTAAAACCCTCTGTGGGATATGAGTATAGATCATGCTGATTCTTATGGAGTTCTCAGTTTTGCTACATTGCTTAGAAGACCCGGTTTTCTGGAAAATCAGCTTTTAAGAAACTCTAAAATAACCAAAGTTTTTCTTAATGAGCCATGCTTGTAGCCCGCATATTTCTGATTAAAGTGAGATCTCGCCCAACTCTACATGACCTTTCTTTGTAAATTTATAGAATTTACAAGAAAAGCCT